CACCGTCGACAATACTCGTCGTGCGCCATCGCCGGGGTTGTCGACCTGTAAACAATAGAGTTAGGCTGGTGTCAGAGTCCGCGATCCGTCGCAGGTTTCGCTGATTTCACGCGATTTTCGCGATTTGCGCGATTCACGCGACGGGTCACGTGCCCGATCAATACTGCAAGGTGTTCTCCAATCCTGCCGCCACTTCTGCTTGATAGTGATGGCTGAATGACGACTGCTCATGATTCCACTTGTTTCATATTCAGTGTTTCAAATGTTCAAATGGGGCTTGCAATTTTTGCGATCCGTCGCAGGTTTCGCGCAAATCGCGAAAATCAGCGAAACCTGCGACGGATCGCGGACTCTGACACAATCCTTATGCTTTTCTGCTTTGTTCCAAGCCATCACACAAAATATGAACGCTTTTAGTTGAGGATTGGGATGGCGGTCACGCGAATTCACTGTTCAGTCACTTCAGACCAGTTTTCTGTCTTTGCAAGTCAAAATTATTTAGAAAATACGTCTACGTTAATGTTTGACACTCACGAGCATCTCACCGACGGAAATACCAGTAAAGAAGAGGATCCCTTGCCTGAAGATGAGCACTCTACAGTGGATGAGACACCAGATCATCTAGGGGTAGGTTTTTTACATAGTACTTCTAGAAGCCTTTTCCTGCTATCGATATCCTAGGATGTATTGAGGTTATCAAATATTGCCATTAACCTTACGAAGCTCTCATTACCTACATTGATGTTTTGCAGAGATCGGAAGCTGACGCCCCTCCTGAGTCACTTTCGGAGGCGGCCCATGTGACTGAGTCGAAAGACGAGAAGTCTCATACTCCAGCCCATAAGGAAGGTTAGATAATTGCGCAGCGATTATAGGAGCCGTTCTGTTTTCAACTATTAAACCTCTAATGTTTAGACGAAAGTAAGTGTGATAGGGAACAAGAAGAAAAGGAAGGAAGTGATAGGGCTAACGAAGAAAACTCTGATGGTGACCCTAATGCTAGCAAAGACAACGATAGCGAAGAAGGAGCCAACGAAGAAATCTCCGATGATGACCGAAACCCTGACAAGGACAACTTTGATGAACAAGAAGCTAATGAAGAAAGCTCCAGTGGAGATCACAATCAAAGCAATGATGAAAAAGAAGGGATTGCTGAAGAAAGTCCTCCAACCCCAGAGTCACATCATGAGGAGGTGGACGAGCCGATGGTACAAGAGGAGGTATGTATCAAAAAGATCATTTCCATGGACACAGATGATGTTGAGGTGTGTTTTTTGTTTGGTAGGGGCGATTTTATATTCGGTCTTCCCATTGTAACAATCGCAAAGCATTTGATGCGTATCGGTCGTCAGATGGGTCGGAGCATTGGACGGATCGATACGTATCTAATGTAGCTTCCGTAGATTAGCTGCTAAATTTCCTCGAAATTTGTAGGATCAGGATAAGAATGTCGTAGCCACTGAAGCTGATGAAGACGGAAGGATTACTGACGACGTAATGGAAGTTGTCGAGGAATGCTGCCAAGAGGAAGAGTTCGACCTGTTGAAAATACCGAGTGTCTTTTGGAATGTGCGGAGCAGTTAGAGGACAATGTTAATGAGTATGTTTTTCTTTTTCTTGTCCTGCTCTTTTTGTAACGCTGAGATTGCGGGAGAGACACCGGGTTCCAGATTATTGTATTGCTCAAATGTCCCTAGCATTGTAAAATTGTTATTGGCAAATGTTAAGCACCCCTCTAGCCAACTGCAAAGACCAGGAATTGAAATATAGCGCCTTGTTCACCCTGTCACATTGTTAGCGCAACGCAGGGATAACGTAAGTAGGCTGTTTTGAAACATTAGAAAATGCCAAATAAATCACGAGATCGTCTCTGAGTGAAAGTATGGTCCACCGGCGGGCCATACGGTCATCAAAGGGTTAATAAAACGTCTTCATACACACTCCTGCGCGCATCGATCCGTAAAGAATTAGATGAAGTATAGCAATAATCAATGAGGGTCTACAAAGTGCAAAGACATTTTGTTAGAATTGCTACGTTTATATGCGCACAACAATTTTCTCTTCTGCAAAGGAAGTTGGATAAAAATTGCCATTAATTCAGCTTCATGTTTCATTGGCTTCTGCACGTCTACGGGCCACTTGAACTCGGTCCTTTAAACCGCCTCAATTTGATGCTCTCGCCTGCGCTCTCTCGCCTTAACAGCGGCTCATGACACTGTGATCTCACACATTCAAACTTTTGCCACACTGTAATTGGCTCACCCACCTCGGAGTCCCTCCTCCTTCAAGGCTTAGTCCTAGAACTCCCGCTTTCCTCCTTGGGTTTGGAGCCATCCTTAGAGCGGAGAGCACAGACTTGAGAACAGCTCCTGGCTCGGCTCTAAATCGTTAGGAGGAAGGTGGAAGTCCTAAGACTAAGCCTTGGAGGGGGAGGAAGTCCAAGGTTGGTAGCCAATCATAGTTTGGCAAAAGTTTGAATGTATGAGATCACAGTAGTCATGAGTCGCTGTTTAAGCAAGAAAACAGACGAAAGCACCGTATTGAGGCGGTTGAAAGGATCGGGTTCAAAATCGTTCTCTAATCGTCTGCGCTCTAGCCATTCGTGGCAAGACCATTGAAGAAAATTCACGTAACTCGTTTACCCCTCTGTGAGGTTCTTCGATTCATGGTGACAAAATAGCTCACGATGATCCAGAAGAATAGAGTGTAACACATACATATGCTTCATTATTGTTGTGTCCAGAAATTTCGTGTTGTTTTCTCCAGGGTATTCTAACAATTGTAGCAAGTTTCATTTTTCAAGAGACTTGATGAACGTCGGAACGCTATGTAATCCTGTGTCACATACAGGCAATAGGTGGTCCAAGCTAAGAATAGAAGCAAGGTGGATGGAATATAGATGAGAAGAGTGTCTTCAGAAATCACTAGCGGAAATGAACTTCGTTTTTTTCGGTCTCATCACATTACTACAGTCGGTATCTCGAAGTCTGATTGGGCGTGTCACCGGAAATGACGTGGCAGCCACCGCACTTGATAGATGTGTGGATAAATACTCCGCCAGATATCAGCAAAGCGTGTTGGAAGCAGCTTATCCGCGCAACTTCTATCAAGTGCGGTGGCTGCCACGTCATTTCCGGTGACACGCCCAATCAGACTTCGAGATATGGACTGTACAGTGCTGCTTCATTTTGAAATCAGGGCACTACCGCACTAGTAA